ATCAGTTTCCTCCATCGCCCGATGTCGGTTTGTCGTTGTTCAATGCCAATCCATTGCCTTCATTTGGTGTCAATCTGCTACTATCGTCTGGTGTTGGTTTGTTGCATCCAACCTATATCGATCCTCCATTGCCATCATCTAAGACTAGTTTGCGATCATACCCTTCGATCTGTCTGCCTTTGTCATTCAGTGCCAAATGCTCTTGTTAGTAAGGAATGTTTTAGTGTTGTCATCTAGGTCCAATCTATGCCCCTGTTGATTGAGACTAGATCACTTATGTTGTCCAAGTTTGTACTATTGAAGCCAACAAGACTGGGTTGCCACCCCCGATCGAGACCTAATCACTGACTTTGATTAGGATCAGATCATTAACATCGTCTAAGATGCCTTTAAATTCAAACATATAATTTAAAAATTAAAATTTTATTTAAGATCCAAACAAAATATGTTAATATTATAATTTTAAATTTTTATATCATTCAAATAAAAAATTTAATATATACAAATTTAAAATATAAAATTTTAATTTTAAATTATCAACTTAAATTCACATCATTCAAACACAACTTTAATGCTGCTTTCAGAAAAAATCTTTTGACCTTTTATGCTTTTTGGTCCCCACCTTTGTCCCTCGCAAGAGAGCTATGCTGCCTGATTCATTGAACCTTTCATTCCATCAAATGCTTCAAAAGACAGTTGGAGAGGCTAAAGAAAGGCTAGACTTATAGGCCATGTGCCAATGCATGTTCAACAGTAATGACAATAAAGTAAGAAAATGTTACACTAAATAACTCCATGAGTATTATTGAAAAGCAAAACAGATTTGAATCAGACAGATCTCTCTTAAAAATGAGGTATGTGTAATTTTCATAAAATTACATTATAAGCCTTGCTTTGCAATGTGGTATGAAATATAAATAAATTGGAATATTTATAACCTATAAACATTGCAATTTTCTATATATTTTAATAGCTTTCTGGGTTTAAGAAATATTTTCATAATTTAGTTATTATTTATATTTTTTCTAGAAGTTTAAAAATAAATAGTATTCACATATTTTAAAAAATAAAAATATTTACAATTCATGAAAAGATAGAACTACGTAGTTTTCATGAATTTAAAAGAAGTTTATATTATTTGTTACTGTAAAAATAATAAGCTATTTATACTATTTTGATATAAAAATCAAATTATACATAAATAATGAGTTTTGTTAAAGTTATATACATTTTAGGGTTAATATGTAATTTGAACTCTGAATTATAAGTTCTGATTTAAATCCTAAATTTTTAAAAGGTATATTTTAAACCTTAAACAATTAAATTTGGTGCAATTTTACCCATATTATTAAATTTCAACAAACATCCATTAAACTGGATCCTATTGTATGATTTTTATCAAATTTTACTTTCCTTCTCTCTTTTACCCTCATTTGGTAAAAATTACATATTAGGTTTTAATTTAATGGACGTTTGTCTAAACTTAAAGGTTAGATGAAATTGTCCTAACTTTAATTATTTAGAATTCAAAATACACTTTTTAAAAGTTTAAGGTTCAAATTACCCCTAAACTTATAGTTTCAGATTTAAATTATATATTAACCCTACATTTTATTTATTCTTAAAATATAAATAGATTTAGTAAAATCTTGTTTTTAATTATTGATAAAAATCTGTGACTATAATATGGGTACTCATTGGGTGAGAGAATTTGACACATATATGAATTTCGAATTCTAACACATGATAATTATTATGTTGTATGCTTATTAATTATATATGGTTTACTTGGCTAGTTATTAATGAATATATTTGAATGAAAGAGACATAATTTAAAAAGAAAAACAAGAGAGGGAGACATGTCAATAAATAAATAAATAAATAAAAAGTGAAGAACAAGTCCCATTTGGTGGCTCGTGCAATTATTATTTGCTTCATCATGTCATTTTCAATTTCAATTCATGAATCTGGCAAAAGAAGTTTCAATTCATGATTAATAAAGTCCAAACTTCTCAGGGCTGCCAAATGACATGGCATTATTAGCAAAAATATATTAATATGCTGTTAATATCTTTGATGTAGTAAAAATAATTGTAGTTATTAGCTGACAATGATACCTTCATTTTCTTATCAAAAAAATGATACCTTCATTCAGGGGATCTGAGCCACCGGCCCTCTTTACGTTTTAATTTTATCAAAATTAAAATTATATATTTTTTAAAATAAAAAATAAATCACGTGATTTTCTCCCACAATAAAATATTCACTTTTTTATTGTGATGAGTGTAAACTTAAAATTACACATAATTTTATCAAGATGAAAAATTGTCCATGAAATTACAAGTTAAATTACGCAAAATCCCTTTAACCTTTTTTTTTTGGGATTATTTGGAAACTAATTTTATTTTTAGGGTAGATATTTGTATAACTTAAAATAGAAAAGAGATAAGCGTAATTTTAATAAAAAAAGGAACACTAATTTACTCTTTATTTGAAGAGATATTTATGTAAATATTGAATAATAGAAGTGAATTATTTGTAGCTTCAACAAATTAAAGGAAATTTTATGTAATTTCAACATAAGTCAATAAAAATCTAATGTAATTTCCTCATAAAATTTGTACTGCTATAAATGGGAAAAGATATTCTGAACTCACATAATTATCCTATGGAGATAATTTTCTTCAGTTATTCAAACAATATAGCTTAATTAATATATACATATACAATGGCATATTTCAACCCATGGTTCGACCACTCATGGGTTGTTTTTTTTTTTTTTTTGGTAAAAAAAAAGGACAATATAATTCAATAAAAGCATTAGTCCATTACAAACATAAACCCGATCCAAAATAATTGGGCCTAATATAGACACAAAACAAGATGGGATTAAAAATATAAAGAGGAAATGAAAAAAGACTCCCAAGAAACAGGCTCACATGATAACAATCTGCTAGAAGAAACTTGTTGCCAATAAGGAGGAGAGCCATGAACCAATGGGTGTTTGTCTAAGTGGTTAAAGACTTAAACAGCTTAACTTGAGATCTCGTGTTCGAGTCTCAAGGTACGCAACCATGCAGTTGAGCATACAAAGTATGTATCACTAATGATACCTGCAAAATCCCCATGATAAAGGCCCTACAAAGAGAAGGAAAGCCACGAACCATATATGCAGAAACTTATGAAACATGAATACTTCAAAAAAGTAAATGTATTCATATTTGAAAGAATATTTTAGTATACATATCTCATATTTTAATACTTATACCTATATAATAAAATGTTGAAATATAATTTATAAATATCCTTGTACATATATCTTAAAATTTTGAAAATTTATTGTATTGATGTGTCATATTGTATCGTATTAGATACTCCTACTTGTATCTATACAGCCTAAGAAAATGAATGATAGGTGTCGTCTCCACGAACCAAGGTACCATAAAAGGCAGAACCTAAGGTTCTCGAAGAAAAGGCATAAAAGCTAAGAGAATGCAACGATCTACCAACATCCGAGAGATAGCAGTATCTCCAAAGCAAGAATCGCAAATGGAAGTCTGGTTTGAGAGCCACGGACGCAACAACAACAATTGAAATATTGATCAAACGAAGAAAGCCTAGGATAGACAAGACAAACTAGGCCCAGTGTGCGAAGAATTGATCAATCCATGTGAATTTTTTTTCCCTTGGCTTATTATATGCCCAGCTATTGACAAAGTTTTAAATATTTTTTCATCAATATATTCTTTAGACAATATCCTAGAAATTTTATTGTCAACTTCTTAGAATTCCCAAATAATCAGTGCCATTTATACATTTTTTATGAACTTATTTATACTTCGTTGCTAATACAGTTGATGTGAAAATAAAACATTCCTCATTTTTCCCGCTTTAGTGTTTGATTGTATTGGGATTTCAACCGCAAATTACACATAAGATCTAAGATGAAGTATGGAAAATAACGAAAATATTTAACGCACTTTAATTTCTCAAAGACTTCTAATCTTAATAAGGATAACTTCATTACAAAGTTTATAACTCTTATTTTTTAGAGGAAAAAATGATAAATTTCTCTCTCACGCCACACACGACTATTCAATACCCAAATTACACCCTTACAGTAATCATAAACAAATGACTAGGATCTCTTTATAGCATACTCTCAGCCTCTTCTCTAAAAGAGAGAAACCTCATGCCCACAAAAATTGAATAAAGACGTGTTTGGATTGAGGAGAATGAGGAAGAGAAGGGAGCTGAGTAAATTTAGACTTTTCCCTTGATTTATATGTAAAGAGAATATTTCCTTTCCTCTATCTTTGCCTTCTTGTTTTGGTAAGTTAAAAGAGTAGACTTTGTTGATAATAGATATTATTTCCCCCGAGGTATTGGGGGCAAAGAGTAGATCTCTTCTAATTAAATTGTTACATACATAAGAGCTGAGATTCAAACTCTCAACTACATGATTATGTGACAAGAGCGCCTATCACTCGTGTCAACTTAGTTTGTTTTTCTCTTTGTTTTCACTGTCCTCAATCCAAACACGTTGTAAAAAGAGGGAAGTCCTTAATGGGTCTATGTCTCAGTCTTCATGAATTATAAAGTCTTCCTGTTCTGGGATAAACACAGAAGGAGGATCACATAATAATCTGTAAAAACGAGTAATGGCAGACAACTAGACTTTTTGTTCAGCTATAGTTTAACATTTTACATGAATTTCTGGATGCCTCATCATATTTAATGGAAGCAACCTAATGTGCTTCTGAGATCAAGAAAATGAAAAACAGTTCATCAACAGAACAGTAAGAGTTATACTGTAAATTACATAGCTCTCCACATGAAGTTGTGAATGATCAAGGAGAACAATGAGTCTTATCAGATAACCAGGCCAGCAGTGTGCAAGAACAATAGAATGAACTAGGTTCCCAGAATTAACAGAAATTCTGGTCTAAGACAAAGCACTGAAGCATGAAATTGCAATCAGATTCTTCATCATCAAAAACTTGACAAATTCAAAGGGAAGTTCTTATTAAAAGAAAAATCTATACCCTTCTTACAAGCTGGTGTGATATAAATTACTTTACCCATAGAAATGAAACTATATCATAGCCAAGTAATTTCAAAAGCCTTTATGACTAGCTAAAAACCAGTAATATAGCTGACCTCCCCTCACCACCACAAGTAGAATGAGAATCTAACAAAGTAATTATAAGAAAGAACTCAGAACATACTTCTCTGGCAATTACTCAGCTCGAGATGCCGATGGCATCAAGCTATCCATCACCTTCAATGCTGTCTTCTTCTTCTTCTTCTTCTTCAGTACTTTCCTTCTTATCTACGTTTACTTGACAATCTAAAATGGCAGGTTGACAGTTCCTTTCCCATTGAGCTAACAATTTACCATTTCCACAAACAGCAACCTGAGATGATGATCCTGCATGTGGACTATTGAAGCATGGGAAATTGGTCTGACCATAAGACGTGCACTGCTTCTCATAAGGGAAAACACCTAATTCATTGCCAATTTTCCTCCTAATATCTATCAAAATGCTTCTCAACCTCGAAAGCTCGGCCTCAAGAATTGCCTGCTTCTGAAGTTTCCTGACTAGTTGCACATGCTGCAGATGCAATCTTTTGACTTCCTCCTCCAAATAAGCTGTATGCGCCTTCTTCTTCTCCCTATACTTCCTAACTGCTTCTCTGTTACTCGAAGGCCTTCTTGCCTTTGATTTGGTATGCTCCTTGTCATCTTCTGGCGCAAAAACTTGCGTGTGGCTGTGATAGCATGTATGTGTATGTACAGCATCTGGACCAGGAGGGTTGCAAGTGTGAGTGTGATAGCATGTGTGTCTATGTACAGCATCTGGGCCAGGAGGGTTGCAGGTGTGAGTGTGTGTGCAAGTCATGGTCTCTTTGAATGATTCATTCATCGTGTTCATGGATGCTAAAGCCTGGAAATCACTGGATGATTCTGGATTCAGCAACATAGCATTATCTGAAAGCTGAATATCTCCATCATCCATGTTTCCTTTCTCTACTTTGAAGCAAAGTTAATCACAACCCATCAATAGAAGAACATATGTACAGTACACCATCCAATCTTGAATGTTAACAATCACCATGAAGTATGAACTCAAAACGTAATATAACAAATGACTCTGAAATGAATCCCTTTTATGTAAAATTGAAGCCAAGGCAAAGACAAAAGATTGTCTGTTCTAAACAAGCCAAGTTCATCAAAGAGGATAGAATCAAAGTCAAACACTTTCCTTCATGCCTCCACCTAGATCTTCAACAGCAAATATGAGTGAATTCGGGAAGCAACAAATCAGGGAATACCCCAATAGGTTCTCTGCACAATAACGCAGAATCAACCCAAAAAGGCGAATCTGAGAATCAAACAACAGGCAGGCGAGAGAATCAAAACTCAAGTGGGGGAGATGACAGGTCGATCATATATAACAAGAGTATGAAATTAAATGGAGAATCAGAGGAAATACTCAAAGAGGATAGGATTTGAAAAAAGGAATGAGAGGAATTGGCATAAATCTTCTGATGTTGGTTAAATTGGAGCATAAATTCCATTACCTCGCAGCTGGTAGTGACAAGGAATCGGGATGATTCCATGAATGAGTTAGGTTAAGCGCATAAACATAAAGCAAATGAAATGAGCCAACGTGTGCGTCGTCGTCGTCTTCTTCAGTGGTGGAGAATACTGTAGCGTCGGTATCAAAGGGGACAAACTTGCCAAGTCGTCTATATATCAAGCGATTCTGAGATTGCCCAGTGATATAGTGCTGAGTGGTGACACGGCCATGTCTGATGTATAATAATAATTCTTCTGTTGATGGAGATAACACTAAATATCACCTTAATCCTATTATTATTACAACTCACTTCTAATTATTTCATCAGAAAGAGGTGATTAAAATATTAATTTTATTTTAAAGATAATAAAAATTTTAATTCTTTAAATCAGTGTCAATTATCAATTTAATTTTATAAATTTATTTTTCATTAATTTAATCTTTTAAATTTGTCATAATTATCAATTTACCATATTATTTAAAAAAATGTAACACAAAATCTACAGACACAAAAAATAAAATATCATGATAACCGTATAAATTAATAAAAATAAGTGTAATAACTTAGGTAGACAAAAAACAACCTCACAATTTTTTTTAAAAAAACAAAGAATATAATGCAACAAAAATAGACTATATTAATAAAAATTAAACTGATTTAAGGGTTAATTTGTTCTTTTTTTTTTTTGGTTACATATACATGTGAAGTCATTGATATACTTTAAACATTAAATTAATTTGAGAATTGATTTGTATGTTAAAATCTAAAATATTTTTTTGTACTAAAAAAATCTAAAAGGTGAACATGGTAATTTAAGAAAACATAAGAAATCAAATCAATAAAAATTAAACTTAAAAGATCAAATCAATAATTAAGGTAAATTTAAGAGAGTAAAACTTTTATTATCCTTTTATTTTAAAACACAATAAATTTTTCAATTTTATTCGTGTTTCAATTAAAGAAATCAAATTTTCATTATATTATCTCTTCAATTTAATGAATTTAAATAAATATAATATTAAAAAAACATAATTAATACCTGATCAGATATCTTATGTTAAATGAGCAAAAAAAAAAAAAATCTTTCTAATAAGTGCTTTATAATAGGGACATGAGAGAATATGTTGCTTGGGATTGGGAAGGCCAAGAAAATGAATCCACATATCGGTATATTAATTAGGGATTATTATGTGCATATCTCAGATAAGACAACTAATTATTTAGAAGCCTTGTTTACTTGTAAATATTGAAATTTAACATGCAAATATAAAAATTTAATTTCGTATAAAAAAAATTTAACTTGCAAATGGATTGGAAAAACAATGAATTTTGTTATATGAGACACGATTATAATTCTAATCAAATTTCATAAAATAGAGAAAAACTTGTATGTAGTTTTTTTTAGGTATTTTTTTGGACAAAAAAATATTTAGTGAGTTGAGTTTCAGTGATAGGTCAATGAAATGTCTCTAGACTCATAATACTTATAAAAATATTTATATATTATCACTTATTAACAAAGTTTGCATATTGATAACGAGATGTAAATTTAAAACTTTGAATTGTAAACAAAATTCTTTGTAATGGACCAACTTTTGTTGATTCTATGTGGTTAGTTTTACTTAAAAAAGGTGAAAAAAATAGCTTGAAAATAACTTTTAAATTTATATATGTGTGTGTGTATAACTCTGAATTTTAGGAGATAAACACATTACTTCCCTGACATTTCAAAGTTAACCACATGCTTTTGGCACGTTGCGCTTCTTGTTTGAGAGTGGTTTGGTTGGGGTTTAGTCCCCATGTCAATGAGAGAAATAAGTGAGTAAGAAAGTATAGATAAGTATGACATTTCATTTTATATCATCTAGGTGAAGTGAATTGGTCTTTTTTATGTTTTTAAAAAAGGTGACATAATGCTTTATTATTGAGAAAATCACATTTAAGAATCACTCAAAAAAATTATTTACAAATAAAGACCACTACAAAATAAATTGTTGTTAAAATAGAAATGTAATTTATTTTTTCTTAAATGAAACTTGTTATTAGTATTTGTTTATAAATAATTTATTTAAGTGGTTCTTAAATGTGATTCTCCTTTTATTATTTTTCTTTTGGTTGAGGTGTAGAGGTTGGCAAATCATATTAATGACTAACATATAATATCTTACATCAAACATGACATGGATTAAATGAAGGATCAAATGACCCTTTTTTTTATATGCCATTTTTTAGGAAAAAAAATTTCTATTTCTATTTATATCACTGTATCTTTACAATTAGATGAAAATATTTGCTATTATCTTTTTAGATAGGAAGTTAGTTTACTCTCCATTATCTAGGTATTGCTCCACGACCTTTCTATTTAACTAAAACACACCGTTTTAGGAAGTAAACAAAATCTGTACCATTCATTTTACCAAGCAATCATAGCCATTCATTACCCCCCTTTTTTAGAAAATTATATATAAATCCCAATGAAGCACACTTAATTATAAGTAAGTCCTGCAAAATTTTGAAATAACAAATTGGTCCCTTGAGACCTAAAGATAATTTGAAATTAAAGTGCAGAGACTATAACATTCCTATTAAAAATATATTACATTAATCAAATAATTTACAACTACTATATCAATAATTTATAACTATCACTTTAATTTTTTATAATTATAATTTTAATTTTTTACATCAAATATTTAAATATTTTTAATTATTTGATATATAAAGTTATAGTTGTAAAAATTTTAAATGATAGTTGTAAATTAGTGATGAAATAATTATAAACAATAAATGTTAAATTTTGTTAGTAATGCATAATGGATTTAACTATTATATATGTGAAGTTATATTTGTAAAAAGTTAAAATAATAATTATAAATTATTAATAAAGCAGCTATAAAGAGTTAATGTTAAACTTTTTAATAAAATATAATTGGTTTAACTATTATATATATGAAGTTATTATTGTAAAAAATTAAAGTGAAGGTTGTAAGTTATTGATGAAGTGATTGTAAAGTTATTTAATTGATATAATGTATTTTTAATAAAGGTATTATTATTTTTTAACCCCAATCTTAAATTATACTCAAGTTTTAAGAGACTTGATTGTGGTTTTTAAATTTCATGGGACTTATTTATAAATAAGTCTACTCATTTGGACTTATATATAAGTCTCTCTCTCTGTCTCCCCCCCATTCTTCCCATAAAACTAGAAATTTTAGAGTGGGAAATTCATGATTTTGCTTCCAAAAAGCTTTGCTGTAGGTGTGTAGGAACGAATTGCTAGCTAAGGAAAAAGATTTTGTTTCATCAAATTAATAAGTAGAGTTACAAGAAATACTTAAGCATATCAGGTATATCATGTCATTTATAGTCTGTCTAATTAAAATGCTCCAAGTAATTTAAATAAAATCTTGTGTGACATTTTCTTAATTAATTTTATTTTTATAATAGAATATATATATATATATATATATATGATTTTTTACCTTTTCTCTTTCTGTTATCATTAATATCAAATTAATTTATATTTAATTCTATCTAAATATCATATTTTTATTGGACAGATTACAAATGATATGGTACACCCAGTTGTTGCTCATCGCAAGTGCATGGGTTATAGTAAGTAATATAATGAAAGTAAAGTATCGTTTCTTTGAGGATTTGTTCAAAAATAATGATCAAGCAAAATACTAAGTAAATTCGATTAAGTTGAGCTACCCATAGTTAGGTGAAAATGATTTTACAAGTGAAACTAGCACTAGAAAATAAAAAAAGTAATTGACTCACAAACTTCAAACATAAATAAAGATCTAGGATTATTTATCCTCCTTGCATTTCATAACACCAAAATCACCTCCTTTCATAAATGCTTTTAATGAAAATAAGTGCTAACCTAGGGTTTTAAAAATACTTGGACAAGCTCTCTTAAGTCATGAACAAGTGTTTAGTTAAATTAATTGCTCAATCTCTTGTTACAATTAATAAAACTCAATTTTAAACACCAACCTTAATGTGGCTATGCAAGGCTAGCAACTATATCTCTATCTTACTAGCAAAACCATCCATTCAACATACAAATATAAAGTTTTTACACAATTTTATTCAAGTTCTACACTCAACCTAGCCCTCTCAAGCATCAATTAAGTGAACCCAACATTTAAATGGTAGCTAATCACTTAGAAGCATTAAGGAAAAGAGTAAAATAAACACATATATATCATAATCTCAAAAAGAGAAGAGGAACATAGTGTTAATCTATACAAGGGTTTCAAATAATCCTAGAACAAAGGGTTTAGCTACTCATAATCATCCACAAGCTACAATCATACAAAATAAGTGGACCCATTTCAGATTACAAGATAGGAAAGGGAAGGGGAATAGAAAAACCAAAGAAGAATAACTCCAAATATCTTCAAAGCTTCAATCTTTTGATCCCAACTCTTCCAATGCCCAAACCCTAGCACAATCAAGCTCCAAATGTGTCTAAAAGTCTGAAGAATGTGTTCTGGGTCGAGCTCTCAGCATATATATGTCCTAACCAACCAATTTTTAATAAATGAAACGCAACATTTTTCTGATAGCGACGAAAGTCGCGAACGATAGTCACGATTTTGGGATGACTTTGACAGTTTTGCACTGTTTTTGCAGCTAACGAAAATCATTCATTTTGTGCTTGATTTCTTCATCCAAAAGCCTTCCAAAAATATCCACAAAACTCCAGAAATGCTTTCAATTGAAATTTCAACCAAAATAACATGAAATTAGTCCAAAAATATCAAATTAAAGCTAATAATACAAACCCAAAATAAAATGCATATTTTCTTAATTTGGGCAATAAAAACATATACAATTGAGCCAAAATGGTTAGAACTTAAGAAAAATGTGATAAAATAATATGAACTTCTAGAGGTTAACACCGGTCTACTTAAGTATATCTCGTAGAGTTATTGTTTTAACAAATATCCAATCTGTTTAGGATTTTATCATATATTAAATTCTTTCAGGGTTTCTTCATTGATATTCTCCCTTTGTTTTATACATGTATTTTTTGCTTCTTGAAAGAATGACATTAAAATCTCATAACAATGAATTTTTAATAGTTAAGTCCTTGACAAAAATTCTTAAAAAATCAGCTGTAAATATTAACTTAGAAAGTTGTAAATTTAAGAATTTTATTTGTAAATAAGA